CCTTGTCCAGTCGCCACGGCGGCCTGGCCCTGGTATATAGCGTACCCGTAAGTGACCACCCTTGTACCGTTGATTTGTTGTTCAGACCCGTCTGAGAAGACAGTGATTGTCTCTTGTCCAAGAGACTCCCACCAGATGGTGAAATTCTGGGCAGCAATGTCCTTTCCTTGCCCTTGCGTTGGATCCTGCCTCGACCCGTCTGAAAAGTGAGGGCTGGCTAGGACGTTTCGGGGTGTGGCGGGTAGCAGTTGTGCTACGCGCTGAACCTTCGATCTTGGTATCCGTCGGTTGCCCGCTGCGCGTCCTCGTATGACTAGTGGCAGTGTAGTTCTATTAGTAAGTGGGTGCTTGTCGTCTATTGTGCGTAGGTGAACTGCAAAGCGGAGCTTGGCCTCCTCTAGCGCCACCTGTGCCGACGGCATCGCAGCTTCTCTTAGCAGTACTGCGTTTGGTGTTGTCCTCCACGCAGGGAGGATTGCCTTCGTGGCTGCTATTAGTGCCTGATCTATCGTGGTTAGGTGCCAGCCTACCCTAGTGCTGACCGTGGGTTTACGGGAAACCCTTGCAATTCGTGGGTTCTTCGTCCTGCCCTCGTACCATGTTTCGGCTCCGTATAGTAGTATGGGCAGGATACATGTTATGGCTGCCTTGCGTAGCGATCCTGCTGGAGGGCCGTGGGCTGTGTTGGCGAGGCTCCGGAGATGGTTCGCTACTTTCCTAGCTTGCGCCGCCCTTTCTGCGACGTGCTTCTTGAAAGTTAGTCCCCTATCAAACCACACCCCAAGCCAGCGCAGCGCTGTCTGGCTTCCCCCCTGCGCAGGGGCTATAGGGTGAATTGTTTGATCTTCCAATTGGATTGGCGGCGCATGTAGTCCTTTCTGGCGCGTGAGGTGGATCAGCTCCCGTTTCTCTGGTGCAAACGTGATCTTGTTCGCAGCTCCCCATTCATTGATAGATTTGAGGTCCTCTGCTAGCAGTGCGACGTTCTCGTCTAAAGAGTGGGAGACCCGGTATAGGTTGATGTCGTCGGCATACCCGAACCGGAGTTTTCGGTCCTGGTTGAGTAGTTCAGCTAGGTATAGGGTGTATAGGACCGGTGATAGCGGCGATCCCTGCGGGGTGCCGCAGGCCACTCGATGTACAGGTGTAGTGACATTGCCTAGGCGTACTCGCACCCTCCTTTCCGACAGGAAGTTCTGGATAAATTTCCGGAGTAGGGGTGGCCACCCTTGTTGCCGCATTCGGTGTAGTAGCCTGTTTTTCAGTAGCGCGTCAAACGCCCCTTGGACGTCTAACGTGAGCATAGAGACATGCTCGTGTCTTGACCAAGCCATCTCCACGTCGTGTGTGAATGCGGTCGCCAGGTCCATCGCAGAGCGTTTTGGCAGCGCTCCACCGTGCTGTGGGCTTAGGATGTCAAAAGCCATAGCTGTGTGTGCTATGCGCCTTGCTATGATACGCTCGAGTCCCTTCCCTAGACAGGACGATAGGGCAATTGGTCTCATTGATCTGGGTGAGGACTTATCCTTCTTCCCGACTTTGGGTATCATGGCCACTTCTACCGTCTTCCAGGCGGCTGGGTAGTGGCCTTGTTCCATGCACGCCCGGTAGATGCCTAGCACTAGGTGTCTAATGTGTTCCCAGCATGCCTTTAGGAGTCGGACGGTCACCTGATCGGGTCCTGGGGAGGTGCTAGATACTCCAATCACGTAGCGTTCAGTCTCCTCCATCGATATGTATGTGTCCCATGGTAGTGGCGTGGTTTGCGGGTCGTTGTCAAGAGGCGGTGGTTCTAGGAGGTCGTCCTCCGCCGAAAAACGGTCGAGGATTGCCTCTCTAAGTGCCTCAGCTTTCTCGAGTGGTGCTGTGATTGTCCTACCTTCGATTACAAGTGGGGTGTCCCGTTGGTCGAATGATAGTTTATGCCAGCCTACTAGCTTGTATAGATCTTTGTCGTTATTACAGCCGTCTATGCGCTGCTGCCAGTACGTTCTCTTGGCTTTTCGTACCGTAGCTAGGAACGCACGGGTGGCTTCTGAGGGGGATTGGCCATAGTCCGACTTTTCCTGGATATGCCGCTTATACGCCACTCTACAGTCCTCTGTCCACCATGGGGCGGAGTGGCCTTTTTCTCTATTTGGTGTTCCCGCCGCGTGCATTGCATCTCCTATAGCTTGGGTGATTCTAGCTATGCTTGCGTCGATTACGTCCGCTGGGGCGCTATTGCTAATTGGCTGTACGCCTACTGTGTAGAGTTGAACTAGCCCGGCAAACCTATCTATGTTTCTCTCGTGGACCCGGTAGTGATGCTGTTCTAGCACCGCTCTCCCTCGGCTTGGAAGGACAGTCACTAGGGTGAAATGGTCTGACCCTGTATACATATCTTCGCGGACTGTCGTTCTAGCGAAGGGTATATTTGAGAAGGATACGTCTAGCACGTGTCCCGCCCGATGTGTTGGGTTACCTGCCTCGCCGATGTAGGGTATGTCGTTCTGAGTGGCCCAGCGGGCGATCTCTGCCCCCCTATTGGCCGACGTGGAGCCGGGCTCAAAAAGTTCATGGCGGGCGTTTAAGTCACCCCCTATAAGGCAGTTACGGGGTGGCGTTAAAGCTGTGAGGTATTGAAATGTCGAGTCATTCTGTGGCTGCCTATAAACATTCAATATGCGGTAGCCGTTGGCCTCGATCCATAGCACATCCCGGCTGATGCGTGGGTGTATAAGAGTAGCCCTTATATTTGGGCTCTTACGGGTATAGGTGAGCACCCGTGGTCGGTCAGTTCCCCACGTTGTGGGGTTGTTCCAGCTTATCACTGGCGATATCATATGGAATCCTGGGTGTGTAGAGGTCCGGGTTCCAGTGAGAGTAAAGGGTTCTTGGATGCATACTATGTCTATGTCTGCTTCCCATGCACGTTCTAAGGCTGTAATGTGGCAAGGCGAGCTTCTGGCCACATTCACCCAGCATACCTGCATTTGTCTGTGTCGGTGTGGCGTGGTTTCGCCGGGTGAATTTGCGGGTTGTGCCCTCATTACGCACTAGATCCGAGGCTCATTTCAGTGTCAGCGTGCTCAGACGATGACGTATTAGGGTCTTGGTCAGCGGTGCTAGGCTGCACGCTTCTAGCAGACATTCGCGCTAGGTTGAGGTCTTGCGTAGTTGCAGCTGTTCTCTTAGACCTCCTAGTCCCTAGGGTGGTTGCGGGCTCTCTAACAGTGGCTGTGTTTAGGTTGTTTACGTCTTGTCGGCTTCTTTTACTTGCGTCCGTAGGTGTTCCCACAGGCTCAGTAGTATTAGCTATGTCGCCGTCCGTGATTTCAATGGAGGTTTCGACCGTGCTGCCTGTCTGTCTTCCTCTAGCTGGCTGCATTGCCTCAGAAGCACGGTCACCCGCCTCCCTAATGACTTTTAGTTCCCCCTTTGTGGGTTGGATGAGTCGGCCGTTCGCCCTCGTTGGGGCTGCTGGGCACTTGTCGTGGGTTGCTGGAAATGGGCCGTGGCAGTTGGCGCACTTTGGTGTGTCTTTGCATTGTTCTCCGTGTGGTCCCTGGTGAGTTGCCGTTGTTTTGCTGCATGTCGTGCAGCGGGCTGGCCTTGTGCAGCGGCTGGTTTTGCAGTACCCTAGGCAGCCTGGGTCGTGCAGCATTGCAGGTGAGTTCTTCTTTATCTCGTGCGCGTAGTCGCCCGTCCCAAATAGGCGAAACGATCGTACGGGTCTGGTGAAAGATATAATCCAGGTTGTCCTTCCCTCCGTGGGTCCATGTCTGGAGGGCCGGCAGCTCGCCGGTTCGATCCCTGTCTGGGACAGAGCTTCGCTGACTATATCGTCTATTGTGGTGGGTATACTTTCCCCTGTGATAGTGCGGTATGAGCTTTCTACGCCCTGGACTGCATAGTTCACCCATCGTTCAGGTAGTCTTGCGCTCTCGCCCTCTACCGCTCGGATCATAAGTTCGCGATTCTCCTGCCCCATAAGCAGGGCCTTGATTTTGTCGTTGCGGGGCGTAATCGCCCAGCCAGTCTTGATATGTTTTGCCGTAGGTATGTCGGAGGGGGTAATTTCCTTAATCGCCTTTACAATAGCCATGCGGGCCGCAAATGGTGATGCCCGTTGGAGCCGAGCCTCCGCTCCAACCGCTATAAGGATACGGTTGTCAGTGTTTAGAGGTCGCCTAGGAGTTTGAGCTAGCTGCTTTGGGGCAGCCGTGGCCGCTTTCGTCGTAGCGGCCCCCCTTGCTGGGGGGGTTGGATTTTTCAGGGTCCTAGCTACGTCCGCCCAGGAGCGGTGCGTAGTGTCAGAGTCGCTCCCTGAGTTTGGGGGCGTGATTAGGGGCGTGATTAGGGAGGTGTTAATAGCCCTTAGCACCTTCTGTTGAAGGTCCTTAGCCACACGGGCTCCGTCTGGGTCGGTGTACTTCCCAAGGCATCTGTCGACAGCTGTCGCTAGATCCGTTATGATGGAGTGGTGGAGGTTTGTAGCTTTTTGGGCTGCCTGAATCCGCTGGCGGACCGCTTCAGAGACAGCTTGATTGTAGGAGGTGGGCGCAGTGCTACCGATAGAAGGTTCAGCACGAGTATGTGCTCGCTGCCTCCTCTTGTTGCCGCGCAGGTCAGTATTAATAGGGCTCTCAGGCTCCTCTGATCGTGTATGGGGGGGTTGGGCACTCCGTGGCGCCCTCTCTGGAGTTTCTACATTAGCCATTCTAACCACCTCCGCGAGAGCAGAAAGCGGTTATTTAGCTGAGGTAGTTACAGGCCGCCGTGCCGTTAAAATGATGTAAAAATCGTATAATTTTATAAGGGTCCCAAATTCCTTAAAAGTTGGTGTTCGGTGATGTGAGCTTTGGTGGAGGAGCTGGAGGCTCTTCTTGAACTTGAGCACCAGCGCGAGTAGCCTCAACGCGTTTTTAACGCTTGTTGTTCGATGAGGTAGCTGCTGAAGCTCTCCTCTTTCCCTTTTAGGGTAGTTGTATAGCTTTAGCAGCGTCTCTCTCCTCCTTCTAGCGCGCGCGTTCAGCTGCTTTCTTAGCTCGCTCAAGCTCCCTCATCTCCTTGAGTCTCTGCCTCTCCACACGCCTCTCCTCGAGCTCATTTTGACGCTGCAGTCGAGCCTCCTCGCGCTGCTTCTTGGACCGTGCTTTTTGGAGTGTCTCCTCCGTCTCATCTTGCTCCCGTACTGCTTCTCTAGCTCGAGCCTCACGCAGCTTGCGAGGAGACCAGAAGACAGAGCCACCGTGATACTCCTGGCGCTGTTGAAGGTCAAGAGCTTTGCCCTTCTTCCTGTGCTTCTTTTTATGTTGAAGAGCCTCCTTTAAGCCCTCGTTCTCATGCTTTAAAAGCTTATACTATACAGAGAGATGGTGAACGCTTGAGCGCAGCTTTCTTGCCTTATACTAATAGCTATTATTAATAGCAGCTCGTACTAACTAATTAAGCTTTCTCTAGTTATAATTAGAGAGCCCTGACGATGAGCTTCTCTCAGCTTCTGGCGTGCTAGCAAATCTACGAAGGATAACGTTGGCATCCATCGGCCAGATCCCAGTGGCTTCGAAGGCCTTCAATATGAGGCTCTCTGTGAAGGAGGATATCCAGGCGCTCCAGAAGAGCGGGAAGAAGTCCCCTTTCTTGATTGGAATAAGGCCTTGAGCCTTATGGAGATGGTTAGTGAGCTCGTTAGAGTAGGCTTGAGAGAGTGGCTTGAACAGCACTACATCTAGCGGCTGGAGCGCAGACTCCGCAACAATCAATCGATTGACATGATTGATTCCTATATAGGTTAAAGAATTACTTCATTAGGCAGCCTTTAACCTAGATAGGAATCAATCATGCCGATCCGATTGATTGTTGCGGAGTCTGCTGGAGCGTATGGGTCGAATGGGGAGGAAGGATCATGAGGAGGATCCTATGGCGATCGCAGTACTTAATAAACTCCATCGTGAGGTGAGATCCATGGCCATCAAGGATGAGCAATCTCCATCTACCTGATCGTTGCTTTGTAGAGCGATCAAACACCTGCTCCAGCCAAGCTAGGCCTACGTTATCATTTGACCAGCCTGTTGGAGATGATGAGACAAAGACCTCATGTTCTCCTGCCTTGATATCTTCTACCCAACTCGATCGTATAGCTCCATTTTTAGCTGCGTAGATAAGGGCTGGAGGCAGCGAGCTCCCATCAGCGCAGCAGCAGGCCAGGACTGTCAGAAACTCGCGTGATCCATCCTGGAGAGATGCTCGAACCTCCTTCTTCTCCCATTGACGCCTGCTGAATATCCTCTTACTTCTGCCTATCAAGCCAATTAAGAAGCCCTTCTCATCCATATTGTATATATCTCGAGCCTCTAGGTGATATTCGGTGATCTTTCGATGCAGCAGCTCGAAGTAGAGTCTATACTTTGACTCAGAATCAGCCAGGTGGCGCGTACGATCCATGGCGCTGGTCCACTTTGAGATGAGATGGATCTCGTGTCGGTTGATGAAGCGAGTAACCCAGCTCTCGCTGAGCTGCTGATGGGCTACTTCTGATGAGAAATTCCTGATCATCTCTCGTGTAGGAGGAATGCCTCGCTTTGTGAGCTTTTCGATATATCTCACAAGCTCTAGCTCTTGTTGTGGGTTGAGTTTCTGCTGGTTGAAGTTCTTGTCTCTTTCTGAGCTTGTCTGGCCCTGGTGCCTTCGGGTCAACGTAGATCTCACAACACCATGCTTAGCAGCAATTTTAGTATACGAGAACTGTTCTCCTGGCTCTAGATTTTCAATATCTTCAATCGCAGCTTGAATTGGGTCCATATTGGTGGAGTTAACGTGTGTTGAAGGTGAAGGGGTTTGACGTGTTTTGGTGTTCCCCGCGCATCACGCGAATCCGCGCATCACGCGCACGGACACGTTAGTTAAGGATCGCCGCAAATCGCGAACAATCGCTGTCGACAGAACATCTTCGCCAACAACTTAGAGATAACTACTCCATCTTGTATTAGAATATTATGTAGATTCTAAGCATTGCCTTGTTAACATCATCTGAATTTCTCCTACTTCTGATATTGATACGTTCAGGGTTGATATTCGTGGCTCACGTGTTAGCGCGTTCTCGCTAAACGTGACGGATGCTTTGGGTTTCTCCCTTGAACCCTGCCCCTCACAGTTGTTGCGCACCGCCGCTCGCTTTACTCCTCTTTCTCTTTCATTGCGTCTCATACCTTTTCGGGACCATTAAACCTTGATCACTATATCACTCGGTCAGAGACCCGAGCCCGCCATGAGCTCCCCATCCACTATATCTACTCTATCCACTCCATCTGCTTCGGCTACTCCCGAAGCCACAGAAACCCCCCAAGGATCGCCGCACAGAAGTGAAGATGCATATGCACAACTACCTTTTTACAGAGTAGTGTGGCAACACCAGACAGAGATTGAACTGGCCCAACCTTTAGCAATGAAATACGGTAAAGTGTTTGAGAGCAAGATCGATGTTTGGATTTACCTCACAAAGACTACTCGGACACTCATATTCCACTCTTACCATCCGGATGGCGAGCCTGACGGTGTCCATGTTGTTGACGAACTCTTGGATAAAGCGAAACCTTGTTTTGCGTTCAAGCTTGCAAAAACTCCGATGGAGATTCTGGCCCTGGCCATATATTATTTCATGAAAAAGGGACTTACCGAAAACTACGACCTGGCACTTACGCCGCATCAAGCAGACCTTTTAACTGCCATGTGTAGAGGCAAGAGACGTTCCAAGATCGTCGTTCTCAAAGTTGCTTTGCCCCAGCACAGACGCCCAAAACGACGCAAGAACCAGAAACCCCGCCGCCTGTGCAAGCTTTAGAGGATTCCCCTTCTCGCGACACTAGCCCGGCACAGCCAGAAGAGGCGGCTTTGCTTGCTGCAGGAAATGAATAACTACACCAACCTGTCAAGGTAGGAATACTTTACTTTTCTAATCCTATCAAAGCTTAACTGACAGGCCACAGGCCGAGTCTACACCAACCCCACCACCCGAAGGTCATCCCATTGATCGCTACCTTCATCTAGAAGATGAGGAGAAAGAGTTGAGCGAGGATCTTAAGCACTACAATTGCCGCGTGATGGAAATGCGGCGACGTGTGATAGAAGCCCAAGCTTTACTGAAGAAGGAGGAGAAGGAGGCTGCTAAGGTGGTAGATCACAAAGATAAGAGCGAGGCAGAGAAGAAACGGCTATGGGATACCATGTCAAAAGAGGATGTGCAAGAGCTTGGTCGACGTGATAGCGAACGAACAGAGATGTCAACAAGCAAGTCAAGCTGGCTTGATTCTTATCGATTGCAGATCACAGACCATTCTCTGGGACGTGCCACTGTGCACGAGCCTCTATATTGTCTGTGATCTGCAATCGATAAGAATCAAGCCAGCTTGACTTGCTTGTTGACATCTCTGCGAACGAAAGAGACTGAAGGCGTGTTGATTTGCGTTTGGCTGAGAATAAATAACTTGGTATAATCACCATTCGCTGACACAGATGCCAGTAGGCCGGTCATGCTGATTTGCCTCAAACAGGATACAGGGCGCTTTCTACTGGACACAGTCTCTAGAACACCCATTGTGTCCGGTCCATCCATTGGCCCATTTTTTGGAGGAAATGTTTTCAAAAGCCTCTTATTTTTTATTCATTTGTACATATCACTGATGGCTTATTTTAAGCGTTTTTTATCTAGAGCTCACTCTTCACACCTGGATAATTTGACAGCTGCGATTCTGTAGTAGCTTATCTCTGTGGAAGCGAGCATTCGGCGTTAGCAGCGAACGAGGTTATTACAGTTTAGCAACATGAATGTGCTAGCCACCTTACGAGACATAATTTTTCCGAACAGAATAGTGCTGATGTCTCGACGGCAAGGACATATAAATAAGCTTTCTTCTCTTCTAGATGCTGTCACATCGCCGGACGCTCCAGCAACTCTCATGACCCAAAATGCATGTCCTGCTCTTTCCCAACGCCAATGCCGTTGGGCGTAGGGACGTTATACAGCGAACATATATATTGTATCTAGTTTCAAAGATATTCAATCTCCAGAATGTACGGTGAATATCAATCACTGTCATTTGGATCAACAAAATGCGCGCAACACATCGAATACTCGACAAACGCATCAAGAAACATCAGAACACAAGTCCCCTATCGGTGATCAAGAGCTACGCGGGAGGTTGGCGAACAGTCTGGGAAGACTTTACGTGGTTAATTGCGTAAAGCATATATGGATATAACATAGCTCGAGAATGGCCTTAATCACTCCCAAATGTCCAGAGATGTCAACAAGCAAGTCAAGCTGGCTTGATTCTTATCGATTGCACATGATGTTCTTCACGGGCTTCATCTGTCTTGCATCATCGCGTACCAAACTTCAAAATTGCCACGACGACTGAGTGGCTGCATGAATTTTTTTTTTTTACTTCTGTCTGGTTGTTCAAAGATTCATATTTGGTAACTTACTATCTACTTATGTTGACTTTATCGGCGAAAGCATAGAGTCATCATTTCATCTCACAATGTGTTGATAGTAAAGAAAATATTTCCCGTGAATTACGTCCCCTTAATAACTATATGTGGAACAGCTGACGTAAATCGCTGTGCGGTGACTGCTCCGTATGCGTAGTGGGTCTCGCCTGGCCCGTGCGCTAGAGAATGGTGGTCGCTCTTTCCACCGCTACTGTACATATTGCGCCAACCTCACCGGTCGTTATTTCCACCTCAACCGTTCGTTATTTTAGTTCGCGTTAGGTCATCAACAACACAAAGGACATTTGCATCATTGAACGACGACACATGGCCGAACAAAGACTTCCACAAAGTATACTGCCTCCTCCATGGCAGCTCTATATCGACAAGCTGGATGACAAGCTTAGACGGCGCAAACGTTTGGATATTTTATATCAGCTGCCCGCGTACGGCTTGTTTCCATTCCAACAGACAACTATTAACAACACCGTCGCCTGGAAAGTACGTCTCGGCGATCGCAGGCAAAGCAACGGAGACAAGATTGCTTCCTACGCGTACATCTTGCTTGATCATGATGACGTTCAGCCACCCGTTGTTTTCTCCGATGAGTTCACAGGCTCTCAGGGCGAGCTTCGCAGCTACCCACGGTCAGCATCGTCGCTACTCAGAAGGGCGCAAGACTTGAAAGAGCCATTCTGCTTCCTACAGCACTATCCTGCAGACAAAGTCGAGAACATACGCGGAATGATCTGCTCACTTATCGCCTACTACTCTCTTATCGCGGGCGTGAGTGATTGCGCCATCCAATGGCACCAGTTCTACCCAAGTCTTCTTGACGCTTTAGACTACGTCGGCGCCTGGATGGGAACAAAATCGCTCATACAGGAAGATGTTGATAACACAATATCATCCGTAGATTTTGATGATCAAATAAAGACTCCAGAATCACGTTTGGGGGTGAAGGCAAAGAGTGCTCCCACCGATTCGCTATTAGAGGTCAGTACCGCTGGGATTCAGCCACCACAAGCCATGGGCGAAAATAAAAAGCAGGGCGGAGTTGTGCGTGCAGCCGGAAGTTCTATTGATGCTGGACCCGATACCAGTCTGGGAAAAATTATGGGGTGGCTTGGCTCCAAGGTTCGGTCTCTGGACAACCTGCCAAAAACTCCGGTTACAATCACGCGTCAGTCCCTTTATCCAGCTTACTGGCCCTATCGCCTTCATATCGGTACACATCGGTGCAATACTCCCCATGGCAGCTTGTCCAACGTGTATGTTTACTATACTCGACAGAGAAGGCCTAAGCCCAGCATTATGGTTCACGCCGATGAGAACGGAGAGATAATCCCACGGACATTCGAAGGAATTCAGGGTATCAATCTTTGTGAGCCATTTATTCAACTGGTGCAGCCAAAAATGAAAGACAAAGCCTACGAGTGGATGAGAATTCGTTACTTAGTCCAGTATTACTTCGCTGTTGCAGCACATGATGGACTGGTCGAAGAACTGCCAATCGATCTCTCGTACTCTGCAGTTCAGATTTTTACTACAGTTTGTAAGTCTTTTAATAAGAATGGAGATGGCCCACCGATGGCTGGAACAGATACTCCGAGTGCAAAGATCAGTACAAACCCACTGCCAAGAGCAACGCGCAGCATGAACAACGATACAACAGGATTTACAGAGGACCGAAATGACATCGATAGCCTAGATACTCCCGAGCTGAGCCATCCGGAAGAGTCTATGAAGGCAGCTGTAGGTGCGAATCGGTCGATGGTCATTCAGTTGCGAGTCAACCGAGACCTACTTGCACAGGTTGTAGGACTCACCTCCTCAGCTCATGCATCAGCGATTGAGAGTTCCGAGTCTTCTTCGAGTCCCGGTAATATAACAGGCAGTGGGTCACATACTCCATATCAACGGCAGGGCCTTGGTGTTTCTGGTATTCAATCTCCAGTTACTACCGAGGGCACACCCAGAGTAGATACGAGTGCTCTGGCTGTCGCCCGGAACCAGATACACGTCAAGGATTTAAATGGATCGTACCAAGGGAACTCCATAGCAAGTCCCAACATCCGTTCCGTTGTCCGGAAATTTGGCAATACCTGTGACGGGAACGAACAGCACCGCCTCGATACCGCAAGCCAATCGCCATCAAGAGTCGTCGGCGGGAGAGCCAATTTCCATCCCGGGCACTCGGGAACAATCAAATTCTGCAAAGATGAAGAGGCTGAAAGCGTTATCCGGGGTGATGTTGATAGTGTGGGAGAAGTTGATGCAGAACCCGAAGTCGAGGAGACCCTGGGTGCCGTACAATCATCAGCAGTCAGAGGCGTCAAACGCAAGAGAAAACAGATACAAGGAAGCGATACCAGTGACAGTGGATTGGAAATGACGGACTGCAAGGAATGGCAAAGGACCGTTATGAGGCGGTCGCAGACAAATTGAGGCTGCACTCAAACAAGGGGAAGGGGTTGAGGAAGAGACAGCGATATGTCGTAATACCAAACACTTCTGGGGAAAAGGAGAGAGAGCGATATGACACAAAGCCAATTGTATACTAGAAAATAAAATCAACCCGCAGGCCTAGTTGTCCCATGTGGCGGCATCCTCTTCTGGATCTGGTACCAATTGTGAATGCCTTACTGAGTATGTCTCTTACTTCCATTCTGATTATGAGACCCTCCGATGAAACTGCAATAGAACTTCCTATATCGTACACTTCCCCCAGATAATCTCAGACCCTACTATAAACTGGTCCTGTAGTCAATCAGACAACAACGAACATGTCGTGTTTATCCCATATTCAAGCCTGACAGATCAATCTGCAGCGGATCCAACGCCTCAGTGATCCTCAGGTCCAGTTTGCGATCTTCTAGTTCCAGCTTTTTGACCACAGAGATTGTCGCGTCGGTTTTCGTTCCAAGGATACGTCTCTCATTAACTAGTTGTTCGATCTTTCTCATTCTTGGGCTTGGTCCTCGGCGACTTGCCAACGGGCTGGTCTTCATCTTTTCACCGCTCGGTGAAGTTGGAATTCCTGATTTCACGCGGCGTTTGAGTGGTGTCCTTGATCCAGTGGGGGTTGCTTCTGCTTGTGGATGTAATCTTTTCTACGCGGCCTGATACCGTGCGTGAAATATTATGACTCCTGGGCTTTTTGACATGTATCTGGTCGACAGCGAGTGGTTGTTTCTTGCACTGTTCGATATGCTGGCGACGAGCCCAGCAATTCAGATTGGCTATCAGGTGACTCGTGATTGGAACAATGTGTGTACTGAACTCAAGAACGCCTTGTTCTGCCGCGAGCACGAAACAGAACTGAACGATGGCATCAATATCATCCCAGTTCGCCGCGCCAAGCGCACTCAGTAGCTGTTCGAGATCGTATGGCTCTTCCTCAGGCTCAAGCTCCGCTACTGGACGTGTGGGAGTAAAGTAGGGTAGCTATTCACCTGGAATTTGGGACTCTAGCTCAAGCGTCAACTTAGGCGCTGTGTCCTGGCCGTTTCCAGCAGTCAGGTATGCCCAAATGCGTGATTCCTAGTAATTTTCCCGGCCACATTCCGTTTGAAGCTTTGCAAGGAGGAGACGGATCGGTGAGACATCAATTTTACCGTGCTTTTCGAATCTTCTAAGCCATGATTCTTCGTTGTCAAAGAGAAAAGATGCCGCTGCTTCCGAAATATGGGTTAACAGATAGTTGTACGCCCCTGACTCTGCACTATACTTGACGAGCTCTGTGAGATGAGGTTTGGCTTTCGTCACGGCACGGTTCCGGTCCAAGTCAGACTCTCTGTTGTTCATAGTGTGTTTATGTGAGTTAATGTGCGCCATTTGGACAGAACTCTAGGGTTTATTATACTCAAAGGCGGGGCTCTAATCATAACATGACTTATGCACGTGTTGTTTTGAAGAGCGATGACCTAACAGTGAGGAAACGAAGGCTTTGTAGACCCTATGCACGATCAGCCGTGGCAAATTGGGCACTCTGTTATGCGATGGATATTGTTCTGACGTTCGTTGGTGTGTTCTCACAAATGCGTGAACACTTGAGCACATTTATTGGTCAAAGCTTCCAATGTTGTGGTGACAAATTGGCCGTTATCCTTGTGAGCTAGCGGCTTATCATCTCAGGGTCAAGTGCAGTGAAGGAGAGTCGCCGCTAGGCTGTGCCTCCGCAGTACGCAAAAGCCTTTGAGCTACTTGACAGCTACATCCCCAACTAACTGCTATCAACTCAAAGGCAACACGTACCTCGTATCCATAAAGATGAGTGTATAATGCTCGCCCAGCACTACACCAGACGCTGTCTCAGTCAAAGATGAGATCTCCTACGAAGATACTGTAATGGTCGGCGGGGCGGATGCGCCAAACAGGAAGATCAGCATCCGGAATGATTCAAATACCCGCGCTGTAGCCGCTACAAAGAAGGGACGGAGTCAACTCGATCAGCTCGGTATCCAGGAGCGTACTGTCAAACGTGGCCTGACTGTTGCGTACAGCGGGTAAACAGAGTCAGATATGTCCAGCCACAAAGCCCCCCACACACCCCCGTGATACGACTATTACAAACACAGTCGGTCTATTGGATCCGCAAAGTGCGCAGGTCTAGTTCCTGTTATTTCGGACATGGCCGCTTCCGCGATTTCTGAATCATGCCAGGATGCTGCTACTCCGGACATCTTCGCCTCATCCAGTTCCCCAGCTAAGTCTCTATTGTTTGGTCACACAAACAAACGCCAGCATTCTAGCTCTCCACTCTCATCGCTTCTTTCGCCTGTGCTGCCAGCATCAACGTCAGAAGCGCGTCGGTGTGAGAGGAAGGCAAGGGCAAACTTCTTGGAAGCCCAGAAGGAAATGCTAGAAGGTGACATCCTGCGCAAGCGCAAGAAGATGGAGCGCTTGGAAGATGTCGTAGCGTGCAGGCAGAGGAGGTTGGAGCGTATTAACGAGAGGATGAGGGTGTTGTCTGAGGCTTCCGAAGACAGTGCGATGGAGGATTCTTCGGATGACGATGACTACTAGTAGGAAGTGCGTGAGTTCACGAAGAAGAACGGGGCCAAGGTCGATGGAGCTTTCGGGTGAGCAGTCGCTCTTCGATTTGGTGCGCCAAGGATTATTTAAAGATGATTACTATGATGGACTGGTCTGAGAGCACAGGTAGAAAGCTGCTGTTCGTGTCGATCACGATAGCTTCGATTTGCCCAAGGTATCCTCCGGTCGTCAACAAACTTCACTCGTACTTGGAATCAATCAATAAATCTCATATCCAGGGCTTCTATCCTCCCCGTGAATTCCATTTTGTTTCCAATACTTGCCGTCGTCAATATCATGATGTTGACTAACTTTTCCTTAGCGCGCTGCGTCTTACACGTTGTAGTAAGTCTTTACTGTACTCGCCCTACTTCAGCAACATGTCAAGATCGAAGTGGTATTCGTGTTTGTGGAAAGCTTATTTCGGTTGGGATGTAGTCGCTGATGAGGAAGTCTATCCGCTGCCTCTCTAGACCCTCGTTCAAGTGAGGGTGGTCCAAGCTCAATCCCGCGGCATCGCGCGTCGAGCTCCAACATCAACATACGGAAAAGGCAATACTCTGTTAACCCCTCTCCTCACTCTCCACACCCTCGCCATGCTTTCCGGGATCCTTATCTTCAACCAAAAGGGCGAGAACCTCATTTTTCGCGCCTTCCGCAACGATTGCCGTCCGCGACTTGCCGACGTCTTCCGCATCCAGGTCATCTCCAACGCCCAAGTACGCTCGCCCATCCTTACGCTTGGCTCGACCACGTTCAGTCATGTCAAACACGAGAACATCTATCTAGTTGCTGTAACGAAGAGCAATGCCAATGCGGCCCTGGTCTTTGAGTTTCTGTATCGACTGGTAGGATTGGGCAAGGCTTATTTTGGCAAATTCGACGAGGAGGCCGTAAAGAACAACTTTGTGCTCGTCTATGAGCTGCTGGACGAAATTCTAGACTTTGGGTACCCCCAGAACACAGAGACGGATACACTGAAGATGTACATCACAACTGAGGGAGTAAAGTCGGAAAGAGCAATGGTAGGTCTTTCCACATGCGGCAAGTACACCTGCTGACATGTTGATAGGAGGACTCGTCCAAGATCACAATGCAAGCCACGGGCGCTCTCTCATGGCGGCGAGCCGATATCAAATACCGCAAGAACGAAGCCTTTGTCGACGTCATCGAGGATGTCAATCTACTCATGTCTGCAACTGGCACAGTCCTGCGAGCCGATGTGAACGGCCAAATCATCATGCGCGCCTATCTTTCGGGGACACCAGAGTGCAAGTTTGGCCTGAACGATCGACTGACGCTAGGAGAGGACCATCTGCAACAACCCTCGGGCAACAAGGCAGGCGCGAAAGCGACAAGAGCAGCCGCGGGCAGTGTCACGCTTGAAGACTGCCAGTTCCACCAATGTGTGAAACTAGGCAAGTTCGACGCGGATAGGATAATATCTTTTGTGCCACCGGATGGCGAATTTGAACTGATGCGATATCGGGCCACTGAGAATGTCAACTTGCCCTTCAAGGTGCATGCCATTGTCAACGAGGTGGGCAAGACCAAGGTCGAATACAGCATCGCCATCCGTGCAAACTATGGCTCCAAGCTCTTCGCCACAAATGTCGTCGTGCGAATCCCCACACCTCTCAATACCGCCCGCATCACCGAACGAACGTCGCAAGGCAAGGCCAAGTACGAACCAGAGCACAACAACATCGTTTGGAAGATCCCGCGCTTCACGGGACAAAGCGAGTTCGTCTTAAGCGCAGAGGCCAGTTTGACAAGTATGACCAACCAGAAAGCATGGTCACGACCCCCGCTTAATCTGAGCTTTTCGCTACTCATGTTCACGAGCTCTGGACTGCTTGTCCGCTATTTGAAAGTGTTTGAGAAAAGTAATTACAGTAGTGTGAAGTGGGTACGGTACATGACAAGAGCCGGTAATTACGAAATAAGGTACGTTGGTCTCCAGTCTAGCCTTCATCGCGGTCATCTCACAAACAGACTACAGGTTTTGAGCGTTTTTGTACTGTACATTGCCGTTGGTTTACAAACCATGTTGCATTGCAGGCGCTATGGTACTATTTTCTACGATATCCCTAAACATAATGGAACGCGTCTTATCAACTTGACCAATATCGCCGCTTTCCAAGCGACGAGGGTCGCTATATTCAAACTGATCACTGCCTCGGTCTCCGTAATCTGCTACCCGATGTCTTCCATTATATGCACTCAACTCTCAATTTTCGCATGTTCACCCGGTATTTCATAGGCTGCGATGATGTTTGGGGGAAAGCTACCCAAACGCGACTTAGGCGAGGCTTTGTATGTGCAACTTACTGATTCCTGATACACTGGAGGCCTCCACTTCGTGCATCGACGCTTCGGTATCTCGCGTCTGGTCATTCGCTTTTGTGGCGCTCACTAGCCTGTTGGCTTCATCCCACTTCCTGCAGAGACTGGGTATCAATGCAGCATGGAAAACTTACGATATCGCAGGTGACACATTGCCCCTCATTAACCGGTGCTGCGCCGCATAGCGCATGTATTTTCATTGAGGGGACTCTGCAACGACATCCAGACTTCATCAAGCTCTCCAACATGAACGCAGACTATCTATCTCTCATCGATGAGATGCTTGAAGCCGCACAGGGTGTCTTCCTGTAGGTACACCTAGCATGTCATTCATTCTTAGACGGCATCTGAAATGAGGACCAATTGAGCGATCTCAACACTAGGTTGCGACAACTACCCCGGAGTCTTGAGGGTTGTACAACTGCATATTCACTAGGATACCAAGCCGATATGCGAAACAAGCTGCACGGTACTTGTTGATTGCTTCTAAACCAAGAAGAATGGCGAGATTACTTTTTACGTACTGTTTCACTGACGATGCTGCGCACTCGAAAGCACCGGCTTGTGATATTATGAAGCCCCAGCCAGTTTGTCAATATGTTCAACACAACTGAGACCACGAATTTAGTGTGTACCGGGGGACTCTCGATGTACCTCCGCCCATTCAATCGCTGAAGACGGTCAGACCTTGGGAAATGACTGTGAAGCTGACCCACCGTAGCGTTGGAGACTTTCTCAGGACTCCCAATGTCTATAATTTTCTGTTAGATCAAGCTGAATTACCGCTCACTGTAGAAGACATGATCGTTCACTGAATTCCGACTCTGCTCAACTGCCTGTTGTCATACATGGAGGTCCTCTAACAGGCCTTCTCTCCCGAAACCACCTTGTCGCAATACGAATTCTATCAACTTAGTCGGGAACATCAAAGCATATGCGGGACTACTGCGCCAACGACCCAAGAAAGATGAATCGCTAAGATAACCTGCCTATGAATGCTTTTATACGCATCATGAGTCGTTCTTTAGGCCCAGCTATGCACACGAGTATCGACTACCTTCGAAGTCGATACTCACACTTATCGCACATCACAGAATGCTCTGTATATCTTTAGGTACATTCCACTGTCTACATCGATGCAATTCAAGGCTGCCTAGCCCTCAGCAATATTCCGCATCCAGAGAGAGAAGACGAATGCACTCAAGCGCTCATTGACGCAATCTGGCATCGCAACCTTCTGGTAGCTGCAGTACTTCTGGAAAATCTGGTAAGTTCGAGTATACCTGATCCCGCAAACGGTAATTATACTGCATGAATCCTCTTTCTTGGGCTTCTCTACAACGCGAAGGACTTCGTGATTGAAAAAGAGAGGCGAGCCACCCAAGACTGCAGCTTCCAGACGACTCTAAGCGATTTAACTTCGCGAGGGCTGCATCATGTACAACTTGAAAGAGAAGGCGGGTACTTAAAGTTAGCTGATTTCTTTCTGTATCACACCGCGAACTTAAACTCCACTCGTGAATGCGAATTGGTAAAGCTCGAGCCATCTAGTAGTTGGCTAAATGGACCTGACCCCAGACGCCAGTCTAATAAAAGAAAAAAGTATCATGGCATATGCGTCTCATACCATAGATATCTCAGCCGCAGATACCATTAGACATCTGTTCGAGGGCACACACTACGATATCTCTGCATTCATACCTAGATATTACCCTGTCAACAGTAAGCCTGGAAACGTACTCGCAGAATTGGCAAAGTCGCATACATATCGGCTGGAAGCTTTCAAACCCTATAACCCAGATATGAATCATGTATACTTGAGTCAGAATGGAGTGATTATGTGGAGATAAGGTGGGTTTCTTGAGTATTGTTCTCTGAGTGTGGGGTTTAGCCTGAGAAAAAAAAACACACACACACACACACACACACACACACAAATTCTGTTTCAATCAGTTCTTAACTCCTACCGCCTCATTAGCCATATCCGACTCTTTGCCGTTCCTTTGATGAGTTCACATGCTTCTTGATTTCTCTGTCGCAAAGGTGTTGCGGGCGTCTGTACTAAAGAGCATATCATAAATGCAGCGACAGCGATAAAATGATACTGTCATATAAAACAGCCAGCTGATCAGAATCCTTTCCCCATAGAAAACGCTAGAATTTGAAAAACACACAACACTCATACCTAATACCTAGGCTTAATTCACTGGCGCTGCTACTGATCAACCTGACGATGGCGGTTCAGATAAGTTTCCCAAAACAGCCCTTGAAATGGTTCGCAATGGCGCTCATATGTTATTACATATGTTGGTACATGGGAACAACCTTCCAAAGGCACTGTATTCACTTTGTAAGGGGATGAAACTATGCATGACGACCCTAGGATCATATCTACACTGGAAAGACGCAGATAAGAACATATTGCAGACAAGACTACTATATGAGTATCATTTTCCCTGAGCGCTATGGTGGTATTCTATCTCGCATTGGAAAGTCGCTATGCTAAGAATAGTAAGAAGGTTCTAAGATGATTCCAAGTTGTTTGAATATGGGAAAGTTCAGAATCTGCGGCGGTAGATTACCGAAGAAGCTAAGCCAGATGAGCAATGGCGGGCTGCCCTGCTAGTGTAATTAGAAGGATGCGTTTGATTGAAAGAGAAGATCTTGAAGAGTTCCCATGCAGGCAAGGGAGTGAACGCATACGTGGGGTTGGTCGATCCTTCGACAGAATATACAGTTCCTTCTATTCTCCGACTTGCTCTTTCCGCTTTGGATTCACTACTCCACAGCGTATCATCCCGCGACGTCGGTCGTCCGTGGGCCGAAAGCCATGTTTGGTTCGTAAGTAGCCTCACTTGTAAGTCATAGTCAGCTGTGTGATAGCACTCAAGTATACTGAACCGTGAAGTGTAGTATTCAACATGCTCTCCCGGAGCTTGTATTCATATTTTCAAGGTGTTTCCACTTTAGTACAGCACGCCCTTGGTACTCCTAACCTCACCCTCCCACTGCTTCACCACCGTCGTCGCATGCCTAATGGCAACTGCAAGTGCCTTGAAAGCTGACTCTGCCCTGTGGTGGTCGTTCTCTCCTCGTATACAATCCACATGAAGCGTGGTACCCGACGCCTGAGCGAAGCTCTGGAGACAATGCGGGATCATCTCACAGCTCAAATCACCAATCTTCTCTCTCCTGAGTCCCAGCTCAATGATACTGTATGGTCGGTTCGACAGATCAATGACAGCGCGTGACAGCGCCTCGTCGAGCGGCGCATACGCGTGTCCGAAGCGGGCCAATCCGGTGCTACCCTGCAGCGCATTCTTAAACGCCGTGCCCAGTGCTAGAAAAGTATCTTCGCTTGTGTGGTGGTCGTCAATATGCAGGTCGCCCTTGCACCGTATTTGCAGACTCCAGCCAGCGTGCTTGGCGAGGGCGTGCACCATGTGGTCGAGGAAGCCGATGCCGGTGTCGACGGAAATCTCCTGGGACGCAGACTTTTGCGTTGCATGGTCTTTATCAACTTTTTCGCCTTCGCCGTTGAGGTTTTCCTTGTCAAAGGCGGCCCAGAAGTCGCTGTGCTCGTAGGGTGCGAGCTCGCCGCCGTCGAGGTTTATGGAGACTTGGATCTTTGTCTCATTGGTATCGCGATTGAGGGAGCAGGTGCGCGGCATTGTGGCGACGGTATAGCTTTTTCCAGATCTTTTCCCGTATGACCTGAGAGATATAGAATATATTAACGGTGACAATTGCTGTTGTAGAGTGTGACGAATCGAAGTGAACAAAAAGTAAGTTCAGGCGGTTCAGTTTCGGAGGGGGTCTTCCCCACGCCCCACGTCATGGCGCCAAGCGATATAGGGCTGAAAAAGTCTGGCCAACCACCTGGGCACCGAATCACCGAACCAAAAGTCCGCCTCTTGCCATAATTCTGATGCCGAGCAAGTCACCCTTCAGCACAAACACAAGCAGCAGATAGAGAAATAACAGGGAAAGAATCTGGTTGTACAAGACGAAAATCTATCTCCACCGTGACGACGCGCACTCATCATGCCGGCCACCACGCAAGAGACAACGCCAATCGACCTAGACTCAGAAAACAAACCCGAGCAGTCAGCCGATCGCCTTAGGATCCGAGTAGTATGTTGAGAAGGAATTCCCGTTCAGGAAATGCATCTAACATTGTATAGCTAGCCGGCGCATCCGATACAGCTGCGTCTTTCCAGTTTGACGACGAGGATCACACGCTAGGCAATGCGCTGAGATACATCATCCACAAGAAGTGAAATTTGATCCATCTACGAGATGAGCAATAGCTAACAGTAGCGCAGTCCTGATGTCGAGTTCTGCGGTTACTCTATACCCCATCCATCTGAAGCGAAGATGAACTTGCGCATCCAAACTTATGGTACGTCTTACATGTGGACTACTATCCGCGACCCAACTAACGAGTGTTCAGATGGTGCTAGTGTTTACACTGTCCTGGAGAAGGGTCTCGAGGATCTGATGGCCATGTGCGATATTGTTGAGCAAAAGTACACCATTGCACGAGATGAGTTTGCGAGCAAGATGCAGGAATAGAAGCATGACGGAAATGTCAAAACAAAATTGATTGCATTGCAGGCGTTGACGGGAAGCACGGACTCCATGGCGAAGGGAAAGGAAATGGTATTGTCTTCAGTTATATACACCGAATCTTGTGGCTGCTTTACTACTGGACACGGTAATAGTAACCCAATCAATTGCGACCCTAAGTAGGTGTTAGATTGTGACAGATGATATGTAGGTAAGTTGTATGCTTGCCTCCAAGAAACCGTTGATAAAGTTGGTCTGCAGCCTTGCCTTGGGCTCCTCTTCGGCGCGGAAGTACTTCAAGACGTGCGATAGTTGCTTCCAGAAGTTGAGGGTTTCCTGTCTTGCATATCAGAAATTGTTTCCTTTCCACTTGTATTGGTCGTAGTACCTGGAACTCTTGATGACTATTGAATAACAGCACATCCACCGTTTTGAGTTGATTTACATATCGATGCCGCTCGAATTCCTGCCGCATTTTGGTTCGTAGTGTAGAAACGGGCAAGTTGAGTGAGTACATGGTCTGGATCTCGGGAGCCTGCAAGACTGTTGTCAGCTCTCTGCTCCGGTGCCGCTTGGCTGGTGCCCGCTCCTCCGCAACTTGTCGCATCCATGTCCACCCCCGGGTTCGTCCTCGTGTATAATTCCCCAGAACTTTATATTCCTATGTGGTGCCTATGAATCAAGAGTGAACGTACCGACCGCAGCCAGTCCCGGTAGCTGTGAATGACCCTCCTCTTCGCATCACTCCAGTTAACCGCTGTGCCCGCGTTAGCCGTCTCAGTCGCTCAATGATGCATGTGGGTGTTGACTAACATGAGCGCGTGCGCTGGGCGAGGTAAGTAGGGTTAATGACCATGTTGGCGGCGTTGCGGAGCTCCAATGACTTCCAAAGCTTGAGTTGTAGTGACGATGAGGCTCGGGTCGAGTGGAGTGCCAAGCCATGGCGCTAGCGCGGATTTGTCGGCGGCGCATTCACAAAGTTGACGGTCAACTGCTGGCTTGTAAGAACGCTACAGTCAACACCACAAAGTTCAAATACCGAACACAAGAACCCAACGTAGCCTTCTTCTTCTCGCGACCGTCTAAATCCAACTCGCTCCTGATCGCCTATACAATCCTGCATATCTACAGCAATCATGCCTCCAGTCCGTACTGCACGCGCCTCGAGAAAGGCACCGCCCGAAGGCTTCGATGACATTGAGGATACGCTCCTGGAATTCCAGAACAAGATGAAGGACGCCGAGAACGCCTCACACGAGGGCAAGAAAAAGTACGAAATGACATGGCCCATCTTCCAGATTGTCCACCAGCGCTCGCGCTACATCTACGACTTGTACTATGAGAAGGAGGCCATCAGCAAGCAGCTCTACGACTATCTCCTCAAGAACGGATACGCAGACGCCATGTTGATTGCCAAGTGGAAAAAGCAAGGATATGAGAAGGTGCGTTATTCACCATGACACTGTATACTTGAGGCTAACAAAAGTCTAGCTGTGTTGCGTACGTTGCATCCAAACCAAAGAGACAAACTTCCGCTCGACCTGTATCTGCCGTGTTCCAAAGGATGCGCTCAAGGAGAACCAGGACATCCAGTGTGTGAACTGCGGCTGCCGAGGATGCGCCTCTAGTGACTGAGGCCTACTAAGAAGGCATTACAAACAGAGAGCTTGGTTTTTCATATATACAGTGACGGGCCCCCACCAAAATTGAACAGAAACAGTCATGGGGTAATGTAAGAGCTAGGTTATGGACATGGCGCGTTCAAGCACATGCCGTCACACAACACCTCAGTAATGGACACTCGACGTGTCGCATCAAGTGTCCGCCACAGGGTCACAGTACGGGGAAGATTTGAGAAGGATGAAAGCATAGGGTGTGTCTATTGGCCGTATCATTATAATTCAATTGTTAACATGTCTACAGAAAAAGTGCCTGAGTGAAAATGCTCGCGATCCGGACGCCTGAACCTAAATGGGGTATACCAGTGAAAAAATCATCTACATTAATCGTGACGGGAAAGGCAGTTCCGTGCCCACAGTCCCCCCTTTGCTAAATCACACCCGAAGTTGCCGGCCTACTGGGTCTCTTCGATGAGCTTGCCGCACTTCTTCGCTCCTGACCGCTCATTCGCAGTGGTTTCTGCCCTGACATGTCCTGGCCGAACCTCGAAGAAGGCAGACTCTCCAGAATATCCCTTCGCTTCACCCAAGCCGTTGGTGGTGGTGGTGATGGCCACAGGTCCGAGATTTCGGATCCTAAGCTCTTCCGTACTGTGCTGCCGCGCTTCAATTTGAACGGGCTTGATGAGTCGATTGGCGAATCGGCTCCTGACCGGTTCTTTGCTGATCTTGCAGAGAGCTGTGACATTCTAGTGCTCACTCTATTGCTCCCGCGCCACTGCTTCTGTTTCGGCTCCTGCCGACGGGGCGGCCGCGGTCCTACATACCGGCCACCACTGACCTGGGTGCTGTAGGCAGATAGGCTCAGCACCCTGCTTCCTCTCTTGCTGTCTTCGACCGGCGGGATGAATGATTTGCGGTCCTTTTCTGGTGTAAGCGGCATCAGCTTTCCCATTAGAAGTGCTTTGCGCGCCTGCCTCCGCCGCCACCATAAAAGACAGAAGATCCACATGAAGCATACGCCGACTACAACGGGTATCATGCCAAGACCAAGTTTGGTCCCGAGAGACATATGGTGAGGTGGGGCTGTTGGGTAATCGGGAGTGTATGCCGACGGGACTGATGGAGTCGGTGTCGGTGTCAAGGGGTGTGTTATGATGCCTGTTGGTGTTGTTGGAGGCGGTGGGTGACTTGATGTAGAATTCCTTATATTGGGGTATATACGCGGTGGCGGGTATCTTGGCACACTGATGACGCGAGCATGGACACGCGGTAACTTGCTGAGTGGACTCATGGTGAAAATTGGTGGCCGCAGTAAAATCGATCTCAAAGATTTGTGTGTTCTTTGAAAGTCTGGTCGTTTCGAAGATGGAAATTAAACCATTACAACAAAAGAGGTCATGCTGAAATCAAATATGATGAAGAGATAGTCCAAAGCGATTAGGATTCGTGTGTAATGTTTGATGTGTAGCTCTCATTGACTGCTACTGAGCGCAGCCTTGAAACCGCAACGGTGAGGGCGCCCTTTGTAAAGAATACAATGAGATGCACGGCCGAGCCACCACCACCGACTTTTTCTTTGCTTTCTCGGCCACGATAGCACTGACCCACAGCTTAATCTTCCCTATCTTGGTCACGGATATCGAAATGCAGATGCGTGAATCGCGTCACAGGCAGCAGTGGAGACAATGACGGCTTCGGTGGGCTCTACGACACCTATTTTCGTACCGCAGAACAAGAGGCCATCATCACGCTCCTTGGCAGAAGACGCAAAGGGAGGTTTGTAAGCTTCACCTACAACACATCGTGACTCCCTCCCCTCTTCCTTGCTCCTTTTCGCTTGCTTTGGGCTGACCTACAGCGACGACGACGGATAATGCACCTTGCACATCTACCCTTTCGGGTCATGCGCCGTCTCTTGCTTTTTCCCGCCTCGCGCATAGCGACACCTCATTTGAAAATCTCTTCTTCTCTTGCAGCGGCACCAGCCTCGTTGCCGTGATCCAATCACGCTGCTTTGGGGGGCAATCGGCATGATGAAGCACTGATGTTGCAAAAGATGATTTCCTTCAACACGGTCTGAACGTCCAAGTTGCCATCGACCTGATTAGGTACAACGTTGGAGGGGAGCCGCAGATGTCGGTTTAGCGGCCACTCGCATGACGCTATTTCTAGCCTGTGGTGGCTGGAAATGAATGAGCAGGGCTGCGACTGAGGCTGAAAAGATGGCAGTACCGGATGCGTTTGGATTGAAAGGGGAGGGGTGCGTGTTTCTGGGGGCGTGTCTTTTTTTGGTGGCGCTCATTTTGCGGGGCTGGTGAGGACGATGAACCCGTTTTGGGGTTCAAAGTGGCTGAAACGTGAAACGGGATCGCAAACAGACGGCTGCGGGTTTTCTCCGCATTTGATGTCGGCGAGGTCGGAGATGCATGTTGCAAAGTTGAGAAATTAGGGGATTGAAGAGTTGAAGAGTTGGAGCGGAAAGAGGACGAGGTTTCCCGGTGCTGGTTGTTCTGAAGTTAACGCATGCAATGTTATGTTCCTGTCACGACCGCCTCTAGAGTCTGTACCAAAACGGAGAAGGGTAACGCCTGTAATGTTGGCATTGTCGTTATGCTCGTTCCGGCACCTGTATAGGCAATGCTTTTGGCTCATACCAATATCGCATACCCTTGGGCAATTCTTTGCTTTTTGACTTTCTGCGTCATCGATGGATGTATTGAAATGCGGAGTCTACTTCTTCATCGTACAGATGTGGTTTCGTTGTCCGCTGCACTATGATCGTCTCCGCTGCTTGGGCAGAAGCAAGTTCACGGAAAAGGCCCGCATTAGCAACTGGGCTGGGCAGACGTAAGCCCTAGAACTTGGGCCGAAGACTTGTCGAGTTTCGGAGCTCTTGGTAGGAGGGTAATAGCGAACACATGTAAGCTGCGGAACCAGAATTCGGACGAAGCTGTGTTGTAGTATGGTGTCTGCACTCAAGGGGAACGCCTCCCACATCTAACCAAGCAGGCTCGAGCGATTTAACCACACAAAGTTCTCATGTCTTGTTTCATTCTAGATGTCCTTCAAAGTAGGCGTTTCTCATACACCAAAGGACCGACTTCAAGCCAAGGCCAAGATGCCATGTCTGACACCGGGGTCCGGTCGTTTCACAAGACGCATTCCAAGACGATCGACCATTGGTATCTAACACTGAGTGTACCGGTCGCGCCGCATGGATAGGCGAGAGTTGTATATAACAGTGGCAGATGGACTTGCAACTCTTGAACCACGCCTGTTTGTATTCACAATGTTTACCACTTCCGAGAAAGCACCACTACTCCCTGTTGTCGAGACTGCCGTCCAGGCCGATATCGAAGCGCAAGATGACGATGGCAACGACCGCATCGAGGGCGCGTTGCTACTCGGGACGCTGTTGCTTACGGCTTTCCAGTTCCTCGTCCTCTTCAGTGCAGACGGCGGCATCCCCATCGCCTTCGGAGCTCAATGTAGCGCGCTGCTGGCGCAACTCGCTCGCGGGCTCCGCATCTCCATTCCCGCCAGCCTGCCAACGGCTGCCATCTTCTTCCTCGTCGCGCCATACGTGGCCCAAAAGGAGCGTCTGGTCATGATGCGATATGCGATACTGTTCTGCTATCTCGTGGGCTCGACGTTGGGCTCGATGTTGCTGCTTTAAGTCGGGCCAAAGGTCCGGCTTTACTGAGGATTAGCTCGTGTGGGGGGTTAACTAAGTTAACTAGGCGGGGCGCGATAGCGGCTCGGCCAGAGCTGCATGCTTGACATTTTTGTGCACCTCGTGTCGCAGGACTCAGAAGACGCAGGACGTTAAGTGAGTGAGTCAGAGGACTTGAGGTCATATAATACACGTTTGGGTATGTCACGTTTTTCTTCCGTCGTCTCGTGTCTACTTTGGAGCACCTGTCGCATGCCTGCCCAACCCTCAACTACATCTAACACGCATTTCCAGTGCAATTAAACCCCGTCATGTCTCTCGCGCGCCCCAATGCGCGTCTTCTCTCCCGCACCAACCGCGTCTTCAGCTCGCAGATTCGAACATACTCGGCCCCGGGTGACGGTGTGATACCGCCTGCAAAGAAGAAGTACGTACCAACTTCTGGTACCTACCCGCGCGGCTTCAAGGTCGGAAGCGCACATGTCGGCGTCAAGGCGTCAAATACCCGATTCGACGACCTGGCTCTCATAACATCCGACACTCCATGCGCGGCAGCCGCCGTCTTCACAAAGAACAAGTTCCAGGCTGCGCCTGTGACGGTGAGCAGGGACTTGTTAAAGGAAAGAGGGGGCCAGGGCATCCGGGCCGTGATAGTGAATTCAGGCTGTGCCAATGCCGTGACAGGCAAGGGCGGAATCGAGGATGCCAAATCCATGGCAAAGCACACAGATGCTTGTTTCACCGACAGTCCAGACTCACCAGACTCGCCATATCGTAGCATCGTCATGAGCACTGGCGTCATCGGCCAGCGGCTGCCGATTGATAAAATCACATCCAAGATTCCCACGGCTTTCGCCAATCTAGGCGACACGCACGACCACTGGCTAGGGACCGCACGCGCTATATGTACAACCGATACATTTCCAAAGCTCATGTCCAAGACCTTCAAGCTACCGAGCAGCGATCGAGAGTATCGTATCGCCGGTATGACCAAGGGTGCCGGCATGATACATCCCAACATGGCCACGCTGCTTGGCATCATATGCACTGATGTACCCGTCGCCTACTTTCCGCTCCGCAGAATACTCGCCTCCGCGGCCAACAAGTCATTCAACAGTATCTCGATTGACGGTGATACATCTACAAACGACACTGTAGCTATTCTCGCCAACGGTGCTGCTGGTGGGGATCTCATCGATACCAAATTTCATTCTGATTTTGAGTCTCTCAAACAGGTCATCACCGACTTTTCGATTGATTTGGCTAAACTGGTAGTCAGAGATGGCGAGGGCGCAACCAAATTCGTAACCATCAGGGTTACAAACGCTAGGTCGATAACTGATGCACGCCGCATCGCGTCCAGCATTGCGCGCTCTCCCCTCGTCAAGACCGCTCTTTACGGTAAAGACGCGAACTGGGGCCGTATCCTGTGTGCAACTGGGTATTCCACTGCCCGCAATCCAGCGGTGCCTGAAGAGACAAGCGTAAGCTTTGTCCCCACTGATGGCAGTGAAGAACTCAAACTCCTGGTCAATGGCGAGCCGGAGCAGGTCGATGAGGCCAGGGCAGCCAAGATTCTAGAGGCAGAGGACTTGGAAATCAAAGTCAGCGTGAGTAACACTCCGGGAAAGGATACATGGTTTTGGACTTGTGATTTCAGTCACGAGTATGTTACTATCAATGGTGACTATAGGACTTAGAAGGTTATGGGGATAGAATTCAATGAATGAGCGGAATTTATAGTGGGAATATCCATACAAAATACTATCTGATGATATGTCAAAACACTGTGTCGCTTCCGTGTATCTTGAGATGAGCCCAGTGCAGCCAGTCCTTCATACCATATCTTGTCGTGTGTGCCAACCAAACTTGGTGTAATCTCGGCACAGCCCGCCTTCATTCACACAAAAACATCACGACGCAAATGTACCTAGGTAATGTTTGTACAACCACAACACGACTCAACAAAAGACTTTCTTCCCAAGAGCCTACAAACTAAAACTAAATACCCTCTCCTGAAACACCAGCCACACCAAACATTACAACATCTAGCATCTCCGTTGCACATTTTACATGTTATTGTTAGAATCGAAGCTGAACAAGAACACACCTTTCTTTCAAAATACTTACACTGCCTTTCCGTCCGCCCCTAATTCCTACAAAGCTCCAGAGTACCACAAATAACACCAGCCCACATCACCAAATCCTACCTACACATACTAGCCACACGTACTCTCTACATTCCCCGCAACCGCAGCCGCAACCTTAATCCCACCCAGCACACCCCATCCCCGACTGCACACCCGTCCCTATCGTCCCAAACCGTCCCTTTCCCCCTTTCCCCCGAGAATTCCCTCCAAGATCTAGCCCCTCCAAAAAAGAAACTTCACTCATGCACGTATACCGATGCACTAAAAAGCAAACACGCACAGGGTAGCAGTCACCACCACACAAGCCGACCGACTAGCACATGTAATCCCGACTCACACTAGAGAAGTAAACGGGCCTCACAACGGCTTTCCCGTCCTCTTACCCTCCCCCTTGCGCCCGTACTCACGGCCTTCGTATCCATCCGCCGGGGCAGGTAGTAGTCTACGCATATCCGTTCCGTCATGGTCCGCTCGCCACCCTTTTTCCAACCAGCATCTGATCAGCAGCGACACCAAAAGGGTCCTTCCTGGGGTCCTGGCGCTAATGCTGATGCTAATGGCAGAAAAAAATGGGGAGCCGGTACCCCACCGCGGATATATGCATCGGCCTACGTGCGGTGTAGTAAGTGTAACGTGTACATGATCCGTGGAAAAATGATCGTGTCGTATGTCTGGTACAAGCATTGTCCTCTTGACATATCCGAGATGTGTTTAAGCTTTTGGACTTCTGTATTATGGGACGGCTTACCTAGTCTTTTATCATCTAATGCTGGCTTCCAGACACTGTTCTATGCATGCATGACAGTAGACCAATGCAGATGCAATGCAAAATGACTTGCATATGCATATTCCCTTCCTCCCATCTGCCCCCACGAAACAAGCATGCCTGTCGTGGGGAGAGAGGCCGGGCAAGGAAAAGAGGGGGTAGGGCCGCTAAGCTAACGCAACAAAAGTAAAACCTACGTATGTATGTGTAAGCGTAGTGCATAATGCGGGAAGGGCATCGCGCAATTCGCAATGAAAAGAAGGGGGTTAATTTGTTGGTGATGATGATCACAGGGATAAAACTTAAAAAAAACATACGACAGCGGGGATTCGCCAATGGTCACCCACTTGACTACTAGTCCGCCGGTTAAAGATTTATCGTGTGGAGAGCGGACGGGATCCAGAGTTGTTACTTTACCTATGGTCGTATGTGGAAGAAATAGCGGATCTTGAAATTCATATCCGTGGTTGTCGTAAATGGGTTGGCAATGGTTGTAAGAATGCAAAACCGTAAATCAGGACACACCGGCAACACCATGGCATACATCACAACAGCAAGCACCAACAAGTGGCAAAGACAGTTTTATAAAAGATCAAGACACATGTGCAATTCGCTGAGCAATAAAGACTATAGTATCCGCTACGTTCAGGCATGGTCTCGTCCACGTCATTACGCCATAGAACCAATGGCCGTCAACCGCTCGTCAGTCCTGTCAGACATCTGCCTTCGATATATCATTACGCTCGCACTCGCTCGCACGCAAAAAACGAAACAAGAATTCCAAACACCATAGGTAGACACAGTGACAAGCGTAGTATATACGCCCACGTAGTCGTGCAACTCCTCGCCTAATTAGAAGTAACGTCAAAGAATGACGCTAATAGTAGAAGGGCCAGCCGTTGCTATCGTGGGTATCGTTTGTCGTAACGTCGTGAGGTGGGACTATCCAGTGGACAATCCAAAGTAGCGCTAGTGGAAGTGATGATGATGATGTGAGGGGGACCGTGATGAGCAAGGGTCAAGAGATAAGAGCTAAAAGATGTAGTCGCAAGTTGAGGGGTATCGAGGAATAGCGAAGAAAGAGGAATCGAGATCTACGTGATGAGATCCAGAAGTGGCGTAATAAGGGTAAGATATAATCCAAAAGCCGGTGGTAAGGGCTTGGGAATATTGTCTAGAATCGGACAGTCGAGCTGCGGGCCAAGCCCGGTCTGGAAGACTTCTTCTGTGGTGATCCATTGGGTGCGACGGCCAATGACCTGGCGCCGATTTTCTCAAAGCCTTGAAGCAAATCGATGCCAGGCTCTGATTCGTCGCTGTGCAAGAGATGGGAAAAGTCATCATCGTCTTGCTGTTGCTGTTGCTGTGGCTTAGCCGGAGCTGGGAATGACTGAGGAGGAGTAAGACGGGCATGGCCGTTCTCCTTGTTGGCATTGGAGATATCAAAGTCCAAGAGAGCGCTAGATGAGGGAGGGTTCAACTTAGGAGCTTTAATGGGCGACATGTTCTTGACAGGTGACAGATCGGGAATGTTGAGGAAAGAAGACGACATCTTCCAGTTGGGTGTAGGGGAGTCTACCATGTTGCCTTTGGTACCGGTGATATCTGCGAGTACGCCGCTGGTGGTGACGGCACGTTCAAGACGAGGGCGCTTAGCAGAACGCTTGATTGGGCTTTCGTTGTAGCCCATGTCGCCAAAGATGTCAAAGGTGCTCTCGAAGCCATGGCCGACGAGGTTGACGTTTTCATCGTTGGGAATGGATACAGCTGGGCTCCAGCCTTTGTTGTCGAGGAAGGACGTGTCGACCCACATGGCTAGACTCTTGTCAGGTGAGCCGCCAACCAGTTCCCGCATCTTGTTACGATGATTACGGAGGTTGGTATTGGGGGACGCAGAAGCCGGTGGTAGGGCAGGGCGTTTGAAGACTATAGCAGGGGTAAGGGGGTCAAGGACTTTGTGGCCTTGCCTGACGGGCGATGAGATGAGGTGTGCGTTGCCAGGCTGCTTCATGTGCGGCCTGGTCTTGGTTGGTGAGTCGTAAGAGGAGCCGCGAATACGGGCGATCTCCTCCTCGGCTCGACCACGCTTTAGATTGGGGCGATCGAGATCTGCCTCGGATGTGAGTAAGGGACCCATTGGGTTGCCTTTGGTAGCGGATGATTCGATTGACGAGTAGTAGCCGCTGTCACCGAGACCGTTGAACTTGCGCTGTCGACCACCTGATCGGCTGCTGTTGGAAGGGAAACGTGGAGCACGTGGCGGTGTATCCTGGCGAATGGAGCGTGAGCGTGAGACGGGAGGAGGAGGCGACGAATGAATGTCGGCAGCTGGGGGTGAAGAGGGCATCTGACGAGGTGGTGGCATGCTGAGAGGGTCTTGTCCATCGTGCGCAGCTGGGTCCGAGCAGGGAATGGTGGCCTCTGAGGAAGGAAGCTCGGGCTCCTCAGGAAATTTGCTCGAGTCAAACCCCTTTGTCGAGCTCATGGGCGGGAAGCTAGCTGACACGGACGTTGAGGGACGAGGGAGATCACTGGGGTAACCTTGTGAAAAAGACTCTTGGTGAGCAGGTCGGCGGACTGGCTTGACCTTGTGATACTGCTTCTCGAATCCAGCGTTGATGACCCAGTAGTGGCCCTTTCCTGGGTCATCTTTTGGGCGCTCTTGCTTGGAGAAAGATTTGCTGAGACTGAGGTTGTGTCGAATGCTGTTCTGCCATCCCGTCTCTTGTGAATTGCGGTAGAAAGCGAATGTGTCGGAGATCCACTTGTAGATCTGGGCGAGGGTCAAGCGGCGGCTGGGTGCGCGCAGGATGGCCATACCGATGAGCATGGCATAGCTGTATGACGGCTTATTCCCATCGTCTTCCACGCTCGGCATCTGGTCCGGGTCGGGCAGCGGACCGTCGACCTCGTCGACCTTGATATCCTTGACAAGCTTCTGCTTCTTGCTATTTGCGTTTGTAGTTGTGTTTGAGGTGTGCATGTTGGTGCGGTCGCGTAGTGGAGCCGCGTCCATCAGAGGTCGCTTGGGCGCGTTCTTCATGGGCGGTTCTGCAGCGGATATGGCGGAATTGTAGTAGGCGTTTTCCTTGTCCATATGGGACTGGTAGCCGGGCCAGTACTGCAGGCCGGCCGCCATTGGCTGCGGGTGGTGCGAAAGCAACGGCTGGGTCTTCTTGGGAGGCGCGTCTGTGCTGAACCACTGTTCTTGGGGCGGCGGAATGGTGACGGCGTTGAGGCCCTTCTCAACCAGGGCACTGGGCGGGGGAGAGCTAGAGACGTGGCGGGCCTTGCGGGGGGATTCTTCGGGCGTGTCGTGTACCGGTGGCGCGAGGAGGGTATTTGAGCTGTTTGACACGTCGGTGACGGAGCTCAGGGTGTCGAAGTAGCGTGGGTTAGACTGGTTTCGTTGATGATGGTGGTGTGGTTGCACAGGGTCCTGAAAAATCTGCATCGAAGGCTGTCGACGCGCTGCAGCCATGGCGAGACCAAGGTACAAGGACTCCAACAGCCTTGTATAGTCTCTCCAGACGCTTTGACGCGTGTAGTCGCGTTAAGGAATCCAAAATGGAAGCGTCGGGCCTACTGAGCACGGGCTTTCAGGGCACTGAGGCCTGAGATTGCGGTGACGACTGCCAAGCGCGTCGTTTTGGGAGCGGTCAGGAGTATGCTGCCAGCTGTCGACGGGCGTAGGCTGTCGGGCATGTACAGAGCAATTCTGCGTGAATTGGTGAGAAAGGAGGCAGCTGTGGGGTGCAGGACTGCTATCTAACCTGTGCAGATGCGATGAGGCAGCGGAGCAATTCGCTTATGGGCGCTAAAAAGCAACCTCTGACGACAGAGTAATGCCGGATCTGCAGCGGGAAGCGGTGTAAGTTTGCTTTGTGGTAGCCGAATGCGTGTGTTCCAGAGTATCGAGTCTGGAGACGGCGCGGGCGTGGAGAAGAGATAAACAGAGTAAGCGGGCTGGACAGTACCGGTACGGGTACAAGAGCGAGAGAGCCTAGTACACAGGTAGGTAGAAAGGTAGGTAGACCTGCAGGGGCCGCGGAGAGAAGGAACGAATGCGGGCAGCAGCGAGCTGCAAGCAGGAGCGATAGAGAGCCTGCAGCGCACCTTCCTTGGCTGCCACTGCAAACGCACCTGCAAGGAAGGAGCGACCGGCGCAAGGGCGCATGGCCAATGGGAGAGGCCCGAGCACGCGTTCCCTCTGATCGATCGCACGTCATGTTGGCTGCGCTCCAGGAACAACCTCGTGACTTTGAGTGCTTAGAGCCAGGCTAGACAGCTGTTCGCAGTCGCCGTGTGCACATTAGCCCTCTTTGCCATCGACGCCCATCGGAAACGCCTTGCTTCTGTCGCGGCATGGCATCTGACGGCCGTTGCGCGCGTTGCAGGCCCCGAGCCAAGACCGCAACCTGGAAGCGCCTGTACAACGCCACGGTGAAACAAGAGCGTCGACAACGCGAACCACGGTGCAAGCTGCTGGCTAACAGCCTTCCTCGAGTTGGCGACCTGGCCACCAGCCTATCCAGCGCCGCCCAATGACCAGGTCCCCCCGGTACGCATGAAACTCGACAAAAAACCCTGGTCCATAAGTGCCCACTTCCGCTCAACCACTAAACCCACAGGCGATACCCTAGGGGTACACGGCTACTCAGTACACGCTGCATAGTATGCCCCGTGGTCCAGAAGGGTCTTTACATACGCTTTCGCAACTTGTCATTTCGATCGCAACCCTACCGCACGGAACCCGACCTTTCCTGCACTGCCATGGCCATCGCAAACCCGCCAAAACCCCATCGATTCTTCATCTGGTCGACTACATTTCACCCAGACTCTTTCGCGCCTTCGCGCCTGAGCACGACGGACGCGGCAAGTACGGGTATCATCTCACTGCCCACTCCCGAGCATGCCGTCTTCATGCGAGGGACGCAGCCTACTGCATAGCACCACGTCTGCGTGTCAGATTACCTACCCCAGTACCCTACTCCCATCGCATTTACTGCTTCCGGAATTCCGACATGCACATATCTCTCCCTCCCTTTGCCCTTCATTGTCCGTCTTTTCTTTGACCTTGCCGCACTGCCTCTGCACGCTAGCCGGCCGTCAAAAACGTCTGTGAATCTTTTAATAACCTAAGCGAAAACCAAGCCTTTTCGATCTCGATGCGCGCGGAGCCTACTCCGGTGATTACCACAGCGTGGGGCGGGCGGCTCATCATGGTGATCAGCGGGTGTGA